TCTTGTTGAGGGATTTAATTTAAGTTACCATAATAAGGAAGCCATATTATTTACTATAGACCCCTATTATGGTAACTTAGATCAAATCCCTTAACAAGAACCCGGAGAATCCCATCCCCGATATGGGAGTTTCCGAAATTGGGGGTACCTCATTTTCGGGTCCTTATAATAAAGATCCTACTATTTAGGGGACTATAATAGGGTCCCCTATTTTCGGAAACCCCCCATATGAATATACCACACACATCCTGCAGAACACTGCAAAATATCCCATCCTGAGGACTGCGTGTCCATCTTCGCCCTCACTGTGCACGAGGCGCCGGACTTGAATTTAAACTCCAACACTAGACCCCCAGCTCAACATCCAAAGACCGCTGTGTTAAAGCCTGACCGACTGTTCAAGAAATACCCTAAACCCTACACCCTATGGACCGCACGCAGGGCTCTCCTCTCCCGGTTTTGGCTGCAGGATTGCACCGGATCCAGGAGTTTAAAAGTGTTTGTTGACTTGGTCTGGAGATTTTTTCGGCAGATCGAAAGTGGACGGGCAGACTGCCTGTTGACATGCCGCCACGTCATGTATGCATGTCTGTCTGGCTGGGCTGCCGGCCTGCCTGCCTGTCTGCCTTTGTGCTTGTAGGTGCGAGTGTATATTTGTAGCCATGTGAGTCCTTTGTGCTTGTAAGTGCGAGTGTATATTTGTAGCCATGTGAGTATTTATTTGTCGCTCTCCATCTTTTTTCGCTCTCTCTCTCTCTCTTACTCTGTCTCTCTCGTTCTATCTTGGTATGCATTTCCTTCCCTCCGTCGGTCTTTCTTTATTCATGTCTGTCTATATGCGGATGTCCTCCTTTATCTTTCTGAATTAGGTATTTTCTTTCTTTTCTGATTTATGTATTTGCTTACTTATTTGTCTAGTTTGTTCGTCAGTTATGTCTTTATTTTGTGATGTGTGTTGTTTATATATTTATCTCGTCGTGTCTGTATGTTTTTACTTGTATGTGTATACTTGTTCGTTCGTTATTTAGTTCTCTTTTGTCGCTCTCATATGTATATGTGTAAACATATACAAAAATAGTGAACTACATAAGTAATATAAAGAAATGTATAAGCAAACGATTGAAACTATGTACATATAGTGTTATATATACTTATGAATAGCAAAAAGATATACTATACACGCGTATACATATATCTGTGCTTATTTACGTAACGTACTGTAGTTATGTGTATACAGCAAGATAAACAACCTACTCGTAAACAAACAGATAAAGATAGCTTGTCGACGGAAGCAGGTTGATAAACATGCTATCAATGCTTTATTTGTACGGCCAACCTGGAATCATATTATGGTCTGAAGATGATTGTGGTCATCAGTCAAGCACGCCCTGCAACTGCTGATAAAGATTCCAGAATGGGAGCCCAGTCATACTGTTGATGAAATAAATCCTGCATGACCTTAAGGACCCTAAACGATGGGTTAGGCTATATTCCTTATTATGGGTACTGCAGGATTAATATCATCAACCATAGTAGCACTAATCAGCCAGCATCAGTAGCTCAGCTTTGTTTGGGAAGAAGGTCTTTTGGCTTCGAAGTACACTGAAGCGCTGTGAACTGGGTAGAAGCGGGTAGAACTCAGCTTTACCGTAGCCAGTAGTTCGGGATCAAGCAAATAAGGTAATGCAAGGTAGGATGATACATTTCAAGACCATATAAGGTAGTTTATAGAAGATAGGAGAAGTCCATATGATATAGTGTTTTTGAGGATGCATCTACTTACAGTTCTGTCATTGTCATTTTCATGTCGGATCAAGACTGTGTGAAGTGTTGCGGAGCTATCAGAGCACGCTGAGAGCCAGGGCCAGGACTTGGAGTCTTGGAGTCTGTGTTGCACTGTATTTTGAATATAGGGACCTTAATAGTTAGAGTAGGATTTGGAGATATCTTGTACTATAAGTATAATAAGGATTCGCAAAAAAAAAACACAGTATTCCAGTTATTAAGGCCTCTACAGTACCAAAACCTACGATTTTTTATTCGTCCAAATGGTAAGCCCTACTCCGGAATTCATGGGGACCCTACAAGAAAGGTAGGTTTTGGTAGGTTAAGGTATTCAACCCTATATATAAACCTTAAAGCCTAAACCGCTTGCATGCCTTTCTGAGATTTTCTGAATGTAAAGCTTGCCCACCTCGGTTCTACAGATCGGTCTTCGGAGGCGAAGAGGGAAAGGTCATGTCAACAATTATCCGTCAACTCTACATCCTGCCAGGTACTAAGCCTAATCCCCAATTAGCCTACCTGTTTTAGGGCGTGTATAAGGAACCATAAAACGGAACCCTAGAAATGTAGGTTTTCTTGAGGTCCAGGTAGCCTTCAAACCCCACGCCAAATCGCCAGGCGCATCGCATTCTAGGAGACGGGGGGGAGCGCAAGCTGTTGCCCAGGTTTTAGGGTGTAGGCTTCGGGGTTTCGGGTTTTAGGGGTTAGGGGTTTAGGGGTTTAGGGTTTAGGGTGTAGGGGTTTAGGGGTTTAAGGGTTTTCGAGTTTATAGGGGGGAGGGGTTTGGGGTTTTGGGGTTAGGGTGTAGCGGTTTAGGGCTTGCGTGGTCTATGTAGATTGTGTGGTGCACATGCGCTAAACCGTGTGGTTTTGGAGTCCTTGGCAAGTACAGCGTCTTCGGCCCCACTGGGGTTTGATAGCATGGGTCCCCTCAAGGGTTGCTGCATGCCTAGGCTTTCGCGAAAGCACAAGCCAGCAAGTCGAATTACTAGGACTTAAGAACTGGGATTCAGGGTTAGGGCTCATGGCGTAGGGTTAAGACGTGGTGTTTCGGGTTCAGGGTTTAATGTTTAGGGTTGATCCATTTTTGAAGCCCTTCAGGGAATGTGTAGGGATCCCAGCACTCATCGTCCTTTCCTTGTCGCTTGTTCCGATTCTCTGGAGTTTGAATACACGTTCAGGAGTTTGGGCCCCACTACTTGGGAGGCATCCACTGCCCTAAACGCTAAAACCCTGCAAAGCTCATAATTGTCTCCTCTATACTCTATAAGCCCCTACAAACCGCTGTAAACCCCTATAAAAAGCCGCTATAAACCCACCATAAACCGCGACAAACCCCAATAATCCCTAAACCCCAATGAACCTTTTTAACTCCCTTACTTGGAGTACAGGGTTCAGGGCTTTGGTCCTAAATCTGGTAGCATTTTACATATTCACGGCTAGGGTTTAGGGTTTAGGGTTTAGGGTTTAGGGTTTAGGGTTTAGGGTTTAGGGTTTAGGCTACTGTACTTAAACCCAAGAAGGCATGGACATTTATCTTTCAATACTATCCCAGCCGTGAACTAGTAAGGAATTTGGAGAGTCATGGAACTTAGTAGCTAGGTTATGCATAAGGGAACTATAGGTTTAATTGCTTAGGGTTTAGGGTTTAGGGTTTAACTATACTTATGACTCCAATTAAAGCACTTATAAACGTACTTGCCAGGTGCCATGATCCTCCAGGTAGTTAAGGAATAGACCTTACATCAGCTAAGAGCATCCTACCCTAGTTGAAGGTCTACCTTAACCCCAAATAACCTACCTTTTTGACAAAGGTTTATATCCGGAAATCATAATAAGGAGCCCTTAAAGAGTAGGTTTCCATGTGTACCTTAACCCAAACCCCTTAACCCCTAAATCCCTAAACCCAAACCGAGGAATATACCTTAAATTATGGTAAGATCCCTAATGCAAATGTATATATCTCTTAGGGTCTACAAGGCTCCCCGAATAAAACTCAATAGCTGCATAAAGGACACCCTCTTCAAACCCTAAACCCTAAACCCCTAAACCCTAAACCCTAAACCCTAAACCCTAAACCCTAAACCCCTCATCATTAAGGGGACACTGGGGAAGCCTCGGCCCTGGACTGAAGATCCTAAACTCCATTCACGCGCCGTTTAGGGTTTAGGGTTTAGGGTTTAGGGTTTAGGGGAGTTCATGAAGACTGGTCGCAAGGTGTGGAGCGACGGTGACCTGGACTTGTAGGGAGGTCGGAGGAGAGAAAAGAGACGAAAAGACCGTTAACAGCAAACTACTGGTTGCCGACTAAATGCTTTGCGCGTTCTATGGCATCTCCAAACAGTTGAATCAGTTGTGGAAATCGTCTTTTGAGTTGGCGCCAAAGTGCGCATGCAGAGAGCGTGCAGGGCCTCACTAAACGAAGCAGTGTTTTGGTCGTCTCATCCCAGACCTTCCAACGCCCCTGGATTAAGCAATATACCTTAAATCATCTTTAGGGTTTGGGGGTTAGGGTTTNNGGGTTTCGGGTTTAGGGTTTAAAGTGGGGATCCCGTTGTAATTTCAGGTATATTCCACAGTTAATGTAGCTACAATCATATCTGGGATCCTAATAAGCTAAGGTATCTTCCTAAAGGAAGGGATCTTGTCATCTTTTGGTTCTCTCTCCTCACCCCCAAATCCCTA